AAATTGTCAAACTTGAAATTTATAATAAAAACATAGTAAGTGGACTCAAACTTTTGTGAGCAACTGTATCTAAATTTGATTTTCAAGTGGAAAATAAGTATATATTGTTACACTGTTTTTTTCTTTAAAAACCTATCTTTATTAATAACCTATATTTAAAATATAAATAAATCTATCCATCACATTCTTTCTGCTGATCCTCTGACCACACACAAAAAAGACGTTCACAAGAAGTTTTTATACTTCTATGTTAATAAAGTCTTAACACTTTCCTTAAACCAACTTGAAGAAACTTCAAGAGCCATCACTATTTCCCTCTCTTCTTGTTAGTACTTCTCTTTGAACAAAAACTTGACCGCTAGTGACCAGAAAGTCAAGCAACACCTTTTCTACCAAGGACAAGAAAGTTCTGAAAGGAAAAAGAACTGGTATGCCATTATCTCACACTGTAGAGAAACATCACAGAAGTGTGTGATATGATGAGAGACAACTTTCCCACTCTCTTGTCATTAGTTTGCTTCTCATAGTGCTCGTTCTTGATTTTTTCTGGGGGATTTTGCCTACCTCAGTTTGATCCTGAATTTTAAGTAGTACAAAGTTTCTCACACTGTGATTGGACAAATAGAGCTCATATCAGTAAAAAAAGTAAACAAGCTCCCATTGGTTACCTCACGTATTTGAATGCATTTCCTCAGCTCCATAAAAACCTGAGGTTCACTATAAGTCATTTCTAGCTTAGTGCAGGTGGATAAAAGACACAGTACTCAATACATCTTAGAAAACAGAAATGAGTCCATCTGACCATAGTAAAGGTCACAAGACACTTCAATCGTTTTTGGAATTGAAGTCACCTACCCTTGGCAGTCAAGTAGGTTCTCTTCACTCCTACAGATAGGTAAAGATCTGTTCCTTCTTTTATAAAAAAATAAACAAGGTGGACAGGAAGTTTTTCCCAGCTGGCGGGTTTTTTACTCCTGATTCATGATTTGCTAGAGGACCAGAAACCAAAGCTACCTCAAGATTCTCGACGAATCACACCCTTCAGAAAGGCTTTAAAGCTGCTAATGATACCCACTATTCTTACTCGTAGTGAAAGTACTAGTTGGAAATATTTGCCAGAATGAAAGAATCCTCTCTAAACTGAATCTACCTTTGGAAGTTTTGCATCTTCTTAAATAAGTAGCAAATGCTTGAAGATAATATTACTTATAGGACTGGATTCATCAACCCCACCAAAGATTTTAAGGTATCTCCTTGGCTATAGGACCTGCCAGGTCTTTGGATGAGTAATTCCCTCCCTTTCTTTACCCTTCTTCCTTCCAAAGATGAAGAGACACTGTACTCTGGTAGATAATTTGTAAGGTGTCGAATCGGTCAACAGTGATCTTTGATAAATGGTCAGTAGGGACAGAAAATTTAGGTTGATTATTCAGTGTTCCGCATAGTTTCACGAAATTTTTTTTCAGCACTAGTTAGATCTTAGACTAGTCCTCTTTTTTCTTCAAGAGGTGGCCAGGCCACAAGATGAAGTCTCTATAAAGGAGCTCTTTTATTGTAACACTTTATTTGTCTCAATGTTTCTTATATATAGTCTCAGAAGAACTCTGTTTCCTTCATCTTATGTAAGGATTCCTCAATAAAGTTATGGCTTAGCCAGCATTTAAAATATATATATATATATATATATATAAATAAATTTATTCAATAGTGTTATTATATAAGTTTGTTTAGATAATATAGAAAAACCTTGTTATATTATTTTGATAAGTTTGTTTATTTGTATAAATAATTTCATTCTAATATATCACTATTTTAATATTTATATAAAAAGTTGATCAACTTGTTTTGATAATAAGTATATATTTATTTTATTTATTTACTTTATATATTTATATTTATATAATAAGATTTGAAATATTGTTTAAATATGTATATATATTTAAATTATCTTGTTTTTAAAAAGTTTTGATATCTTTTTGAGCCTTGAAGTAGTTGCAGTAACTTAATTTAATAAATAGACTTGATTGTTTTTAAGATTTCTTACAATATTATAAAAGATGTTAATTTGCACTAGCTTAGTTGTAAGCTGTACAAAATTAATATTGACTTTTTTTCTTAACTGTGAATTAGTTTCTAAGTGTTTTTTTTTTTCTAAAAATTTTTAAAAGAAAAAAAAATAAAAAAATAAAAGTAAAATACTGTATAGCTTTATTTTTAATATTTTTAAATAGTTTTGTTCTATACTATATTTTAGTAAATTGACTTAAAGTTTATATATTGTTCTTTCCTATGTGTTTAGACTAGGTTTATTTTTTCAAGAAAATTATCATAAAAAATTTTTTTTGAAAAAAAAAAAAGAATTGGTGAAAAGAGTTTTTTTAATACTTCACTATTAATATATTTTATATTAATAAATTATTTTATATTAATTTGTATTATATCTCAATTTAGAATCAAACTGAAATATGTAAAATTCTTTATAAAAATAAAAAATAAATAATTATAAAAGAATGAAAACAATAGATAAAAAAGTTTTCAAGGTTTAAACTTTTATTTGCTTATCTTTTTATTATATAAGATTCTATATGTACTTTTGTTTTAGAAAAGAGATTTTCAACATTATATTATTGATTTTTTTTAAAAAAAAAAACTTTTTTATCATAGATAAAAAAGATGTTTTTTGACTTTTTTTAATTATTGAAAATTAAGTTTTTATATAAAAAGAAATATAAATAAAAAATAAAAATAACTCTTGAAGTTATTTTTCAAGTTGTTTTAAAAAATAATAATAAGATTTTATTAGTCTAGAAATATAAAACTTCTTGCAAATATCTTTTTTATATGCTATTAGAGGATTAGCAACAAAAAACTTTATATATAATTATTTATTGTTATTTGTTTATAAAAAATCATAATTTAGTTGGATTTAAATATTAAGTCTTAATTTGCTCAATTCTAAATAGCTTGATAATGTGTATTGTTTAAATATAAGAAATAACTTTAAAATAATTTAAACAATTGCAAATATTGGTTTTAAATCGAATACTAAAATGGTAACTCTTAATATTTCTTAATAAAAGAAATACAGTATATAAATCGAAAGTCTGTTATTTTAATGCATTAATAATACACATAGTATAATTCCATCTCATAATTTAAACAGAAAAGTTTAAATGCGTATAAAAAGCTTGTGATATTAAAAATAGGTGAAGATAACAACCTGTAGCTTATTATTGTCTGAATGTGAAAATATAAGTAAAGTGGTTTGAACAAAGGCTGGTCAATGTGATCCTCAATCTATTTCTCCCTACGAAAAACCAGGAGACAACTGTGATCAAAAGTTGCCTTCGCCATATCTATCAAAATTTAGGAGAAAGAATGAGTGCAATCAGAAAAAGACATAATTATATTATGTTATTCATGCAAGAAACGCGTACGTACAAATACAAACGTGTAACGTGTCCACGATCCATTAAGTTTAGTCTCGTGCTATGTTTAATCTCGTGACTTTGAGCTGATTAACTAGTTAATTGAAAAACAAACAAAAAAAAAGTGTAGTTAAATATAAAGTGTAAAGTTGGTTCAACTACCGCCAGTAAAAAAAAAAAAAAAAAAAGAAAGATGGAATTCATTTTACTTAGAAAAATTCTCATCTTCAAGATTAAAATTACAATAAACATGACTAAAGAGTCGAGGATAACTTCTTTGCTGAAAGCTTTTATAAAGAAATATTACTGTATATCGTACTACATGCATTATCGGCATTCTGTATAATCCTAATTATGTTAATTGATCACTATAATAAGTAAGAAAAAAAATCACCTTTGATAATACAAACGTGTGTTTAATCACACACTCGTTCAAATACAAATGTATGTTAATTTGAACAATTTAAATGTCTGACATTTAAGAAAATATTTTTCAAAGTAATACATACACATTCCAAAATAATGTTAAAATTAGAATCACGTAAATCAACCACTTAGAATTCGAATTCGACGGTTCATACATTCTGGTCGATAGATGGTTCGAAAGGATCGACAATTTTAAAATCGATTATGTCCATGATTGCATCTAAATCAAGATTCCAATCGGTCTTTTATCAGTAAACCACAAAACGCGAAATCGATACAAAGAGAGTTCTTACCTTTGGCACAGGATGGGTCACAATTACCAACCGCTTTGCAAAACTAAATGTCCACCACCAAAATCACAAAAAGATCAATTATACATACATGCATATCATAGCGTTAGTGATTAAGGTGATCTAATAAACTTACCTCGGAAAACTGTGCCTGAAGATCGATTCCAATCTTGCAAGCGGTAACATATATAACTGCCGTAGCAAATACATCCGAACTATATGTTATCGTAATCTTGGTAGAATATAGGCAATTTGATATCATTGCCCATACATCCTGTGTGAGTTTGGAATATAGGGTATAGTTGGAATTTATATTCCTTTCCGACTTTTCAATCAAATATTTTAGAATTCGGGACGCGGAACCATAAGGAGTCTCTCTAGACAATTCTTTCTCACGCTTAATTGCATTCTTAATATTTGATACAACTATCTTGACAGTTTCTTTCATCTTATCGCTGTCCTCGAGAGGGGTTTTTGGATATTTCAGGCTAAGTTTAATTTACAGTTCAGAAATTAGAACATCCGAAGAAATAAGAAGAAAATATCGCGAAGAAAATACCTCCAACCGGCATTGAGAGTCTTCCGTATTCCTTTGAATACGTCAGTATTCTTGGTCACAAGGAGAATACATGCTAATCCCGTGAGCTCTTCATCAAACTGCCAATGATCGGTGTATCCCGATATCCACCTATTTTTTCCTTGACTAAGATAATTATGGTAATTATGATAGGCTCTCAGTGCAAGTGCGATGGTCACCATCGGTAATTGAAGACGAAGACAACATTTAACAATGAAATCTATCATATCGGTGCTTGCATTGGTTATGTTTGATAATTTAGGTTCGGGTGTGGCTGGATCTCTAGAGGGTTTTGGAGGTGGAGATTGAGATGGTAATCTGGGCGTCGTTTCCTTTACTTCCACATTCGAATCATCGTTGGGGAGAGGATCCTCTAATGGTACATTCTCATTAACATCCGATGCCTGAGATTTAACAGTTGAAGGGGTTCGCGCATGTGATGACGGGTCATCTGGAGCCGATGAATCACCTATTCCTGAGAGAAAAAAAAAATTTTTTTTTTTTTCGGAATTAACAAGATAAAGTTAATGCATATATGGATAATAGATATCATACTCATGGTCGATTCGATCCTTTCGGTAGTAACTGTGTGGGAATTATTTTTAAGATCATTTAACTTTGAATCATTATTGTTCGTGGACTTTCTTGCCACTCGTCGTGGAGAGCGACGAGGTCTATAAGGATCGGGGCTACTTCGACGATTTCGCGGTGGAGATCTCGAAACGTGTCGCACAGGTGACCTGGATCTCCGATGTCGACGAGGCGGTGATGGGGTACGCCTACGAGGTACCCGTTCGGTAGGCGGCCGAGTTGTTCGTTTAGGTGGAGAAAGTGAACGGCGGTGAGACGATCGTGCTGCAGATGGGGTGCGGTGACGAGATTTTCGTGCTGATAAAGTTGGTGAATGGTTACGCGTTGTTTGTGATGGTGAGCGATTACAAGCTGAACGGTTGTCGAGTCTTCGAGAAGGTGAAGGTGTTCTTCTATATGATCTTCGCGGAGACCTAGATCTGTGACTTGGGTGGACAGGAGTAACTGACCTGTGTATTTGACTTGGTCTATAACTAGAATAACGGGGCATTTTCTGTAATTCGCAAAGAATGAGTTACTAATGGAATAGTTGAATAGTTGTGTGGGAGTCGAGTCGAGTCAAGTCGCGGCTAAACTAAGACAATCAAATCTTGCGTACTACGTGCGTACAGACTATCACGAGTATGTTATAGAAGTTCGGGGCATTTCGGAGGGTATATACTATACACTATTGTGGAAAAAGATTTTTCCACTAATTATGCATAACGAATTCGCGCATTTTCCCAAGTTCATTCCTGGTGTATGCAATAATATATTTTCGACGATGTACTCGCGTTATTTTTGTTAGATAATAATATTTTATAACAAAATTTGCAAAAGGTGTCAATAATTGATAAATTGATGATTCTATTATTAAAAACTTATTTTAAAGGATCTCCGGGATTCCTTGTAAATATTAGAGATTCTTTACCAATAATGATGGTTCAAGGAAAGGGTAGATTCTGCAGTCGTAACTTGTACACCCAATTCACCCAAAGTCTGCACACATTCCAACTCACGAACTTTCGGAAAACACACATTCGGCTTGTATGTGATGGTCAGCGATCTCAAACATCGTCTCTTAATCGCATATTCGGTCACAATTATCAAGTGTGTGTGAAAACTCTCTTGACTGCAGTGTAGCACGAAATGTTTCAACCTAGCCTTGCAATTAATTAAGAAATATGACAATTCATCCGGTTTCAGTATTAGATGGCTCAAGTCCAGGTGGTACACGGTGGCTGATAAACTTTCAGCCAACGAGCGCACGAATGCACTCGTGTGAATTTCCTTGTATGAATGATCGTAAAACACCAAGATCTTTAGATCATCCAATTTTCTTATCCACCTGAAAAACAATAATGAGAAATTCATGTACGAAGTTATTACCAAATGATTTAGGCCGCAGCAATGCTCTATTGATGATTGCAACGTTTCAGCGGTGACCACATCTAACTTCAACTTTCTCAAGGTGCTTCCCGAACTTTTCAAAATCGAGGCGATGGTGGTGGAATTCAAACTACTCCTCACCAAACTCAACTCCACCAGCTTGTCGAAGGCCAAGGATAAGGTGTGATCATGTTTCTCGGAGAAAAAACAGTCATTGATGTCTAGAGATTCCAAGCATTTCAAATGCGTAAAACTTTCTAAACTCGTGTTCCCGAATTCGACATTCGTGAATACCAATTTTTTCAGCGAGTTTCCCTGACACGACAAGGAGGAGATGACACTTCCAGCGTTATCAATGCATCCCATGAATTCGAATTCATAAAGGCCTTGTTGTGCTGTTATAATGTCGCTGAATAGATTTGATAATAGCCTGCTACCACTCTCGTTGATGTAAATATGTAGATCCCGAATCTTTGTACAAATCAATGGTAAATTCTTTAAGAAATTATTGATTTCATCTGAATACACCACTCTACCTTGATTGTACAGATAGATGGTTTGCAAATGGCGTATACCGAATTTGATGCTTGAAATATCTAGTCCGGGAAAATCAAAGTTCACCGGAGATAAGATGGAGACATCGTATGACATCGACGTAATATTCTGACTTCTAGTTAAAAACATGTACCAGAGCATACTGGTTAACTGCTTTGTCCGCTTGTCATGTCGTTTGACGGATGCATTCGAGACCATCTCGAGCCATTCTCGCACACCTTCTTGTAAAATCGAATTAGAGAAGTATTCTATGTACCTTTCGTATCGGAAGAGTGGAAAGCATCTGGTCAACTCAAAAACGTCAATGTTCAAGGGTATCAAGCAAGCAATCTCCGACTCTCGCAGACAGGAGAGATAGGTGCGGATGAGATATTTTTTCTTTTTTCCGGCTTCCGATAATGGTTCGGACCATAACAAAGGAATCACGCTCTTGCAAACAAAGCGACTGACGAACAAACTATTGTAGAAAGTCTCGACGTCGTTAAGGCAGTTAAAGATATTATAAAGGCAATCCTCCGGTAAAGTAATCAAAGGCATTGTGTATTTTCCTAAGGGATCATTAGAATATAATGGCCATTTCTTATACAGTATATCTTGCCCAGCCAATTCGCATGTTGCTAATGAGGCGTGGTGTCTCGATGAAGCCACATGTAAGCCTCGGTAAAAGGGCGAAGTTCATTAATGTGGTGGCTACAATATTATCGATGTGTGCATGCCTATTGAGCTTTTGAATTTAATACACGCATATGACTATAGCCAAAATCAAACCACAGTAATATGACCAGGATTGCTTATTTTTTTTTGAAGATTAAAATGCTAGACATCGCAGTACTTAGGATATTAAATTTACAAATATAGTATAAGTTGTACAATGTAAAATTTTATTATTATTATTCTTTTTTGCAATAACCCTTAGACAAGTTTATTAACAATATTATAATTAAAGTTCTAATTACATTCAATTCAATTCAATTTTTTTTTTTAATAACAAACTTAGTCAACTTTTTTAATAGAAATTGATGAGATAAAATTAATAAATACATTTATATATTTGTAAAATGAAATTTTATCTATTTAATTATATATTAATAAAATAAGTATTATTTATTAATTTTATTAATTATAATAAATAAGATAATACAATTGCATATTATAAACAATTTATATATTAATATTCTATCTTTTTTTAAAAACTGGTATAGATTTGTTTTAATAGTATATTCAATAAGTTATATATAATAAAAATTAATTTAATTTTTTTGATATTAGTATTAGATATTGACAAATAAAATACTTTTATCTTTAAATTATCATTTTAATAATTTAAACCTTTTAATAATATTATGATCAAATTTATATTTGACTGGTATGTCCAAATAGAATTATTTTTAAAAGAACAATTTTCAAAAAAAGAATTTAAGAAATAATTTATAATAATAAAGAAATAATCAAGAATAGATTCATCAAAAATTCTTTAAATAGTGTTACACAGTATTTTACAAGAAATATAGTTTGCTCAAAACTCAAGTTTATTAATAAATAAAGAAAACTAGATCAATTTCTTTAGTTTTAAAATCAAAAGAAGATATTCAATTTTTAAGAAATCAAGTGAAGTTATAATTCAAACTTTCAAAAGTTAAATAAAGTTATTATCAAACTTATTCTACTTTTAAATAAATTATGACTGTTTATATACTTGTAAAAATGGATCACTTGGGTCAATTGAGTTTTCTAGGTTTCCTGAATTTCTTGGGATATCTAATTTATAGTAAATTATATTATATACTATATTTAATAAAATAATTTATATCACTTATCAATAATAACAAAAAAGAAATAAAAATAGGTATTGTATGGATTTAAATAGAAAACAATAAAAGAGAAAGCAAATTTTAAACAGGAATAGATAATTGATCTTCTTCTATAAAGGTTGAATTGATAGTAATTCTAACTATACTCTTAGTAGTTTCTATTAATAGTATAGTTGAGATTTGTATGAATAGTTAGACTTATATTATTAAATGAAAGAAAATGAAAAAGAGAATCTGAAAAGAATATATAAGAAATAAACAAAAGAAAAAAATTGGTCTCTATGGTATAAATGGTGGAGTTAATAAAGAAAAAAACAATAAATCTGAAGCTTACCAAAGTAAGGCATATTTCAATAACCCTTATAATAAAAAAGCTGATACTTTAATCAAAAAGTTTTAAAACTTTTACCAATCAAATGAAGGGATTTTACTTCTCACAAGATTATTATAGAAATCAGGTGGTAAAACAAGATCTTAGATAACCCAATTAGGCAGTTAATAAAAAATATGAACAATAAAACAATAGTCTATCAATGGATTTAGAAAAATTAAATAGAATAAAAATGGAACTATTACATCAAGAAATTTTTTTGGCAAAGATCTCTGAAAATTTTCAGGCATAAAACTCTGGAGGTACTCTATTATCATTAGAAGTTTCCAAAACAGAGATTTATATATATAACTCTAAAGAATTTTGAATATTTTAAATTGTAATAAAATAATTTCACATTATTATTAAAATATTTATTTTTAAAATTTTATTTATTGAAAATTACTTTTTTTATATATTTTTATTAATCAATTATATTTATATTACTCATTATCAAAGTAGATCTTTCTATTTCTACATTTTCTGATTGCAATCCTGAATCATTTTCATCATATTCTACTTCCTTCAGAGTGCTTTAAAATTCAATATCTTCATGCTCATGTATTTCTTGATTTTCATCACTTGAATTTCCTTCTGTAAATCTGATTTTCTTTTTAATTTTTTCCTAAAATATTTTATTAATAAACAAATAACTCTATAATATTTCAAAGAATTTTAAAACTTACCTTATTTTTTTCTATTTTACTTTTAATTAACACTTCATTAATTAAAATACTTTCATTACACAGATTTAAAATCATTTGCTATATTACAATAGTGAATGCAACTTATTTCTCGAAGGCATCCCCTTTTGGTCAAACTTTTTTGAAAATGTGTGTCATCACGCTTTGGTTTTCCCTCCCTAGAACAGACATGAAGATTTTTGAAGCACTCCAGGGTTTTTTGCGAATTTTTTCAGGTTATAATTTCAATAACAGTTGCATTTGTATTGATTGTATCTAAAGAGTTTTCATCAAAAACTGAAAATATGGCATCCAGGATTTTTGAAGCTGTGATTCCTCGAAGTAATCTGTATTGTTACACAAGCTATTAAATAAATAATATTGTTAATAAATCTATTTATATTATTAATAACTATAATAATTATCACTTGGTAAATATACTTTTTATAATATGTCTTTCAATATTTTCTTATAAGACCTTCGAAAAACTCTAAATATTCTTGCTGAAAATATTCCTCTGTATGCTGGCAAAAATCTTTGGGATTTATGTATATTTTTTCAAAAAAAACTTCTTTTATAATACTCTTGACCATACACTATTATAGAATTTAAATGTTATTGAAGTTCTTCGAAGATTAAAAAATTAAACCTTACATCGATAGAATCCTGTTCGATTATTAAATGTTGACTCATATAAATTTCATTCTTTAGGCAGGTAATCTTATTCTTGATAGCTTTTTGACATTCTAATAACTGATCAATTTTTTTATGAAAACTTTTATGGGACTCCAAAAGCCTTTCGATTACTATATTAGAAACTAAATATACAAATTAGTATTTATTTAAATAGTTACATCTTTTTTAATATATCTAAAGATTCTTTGGACAACCTCCTAGTAGGTGAAGATTCTAGAAAATAACTGAGGATCTTAATCGTTTCCAGGCCAGCTCTGTTTTTATTTTGGCATAAGGTGTTGATCTTTGTTCTTCAGCTTGATCTGGGGTACCAGGAGTACTCTTATGCTTTTTTGAGAGCTTCAAAATACTTCTTTGTCATTTTCCAAAGCCTGAACCTGAAATCATTTATTAAAACATATTATGCATTTCTTTTCTTTTATTTGACATTAATAAAAAAGAAAAAATTTTAGAAACCTTATATAATACAAATCCCAAGAAATTATATCATATTATGACCATATGCAATTCTTTATCACCTTTCAAAAATTACTTCATAGCTTTAAAAATGAAATCATATTGACAAAATTATGACAACTTATAAATTAAATTTTTAATTAGTTAAAATTAATCAATATTTTATTGATCAATTTTACGCATTTTGAAGTTTTTCAAAATCTTTTATAATGTATTATAAATATCAATTTTGATAACATACGTTTTCAAGACATTCCTCTTATATGAGGCATATAAGCAAATGTATATTGATTGTAGACTCTAGTAATGAATCTAATGATGATTTAAATGAGTCAGAAATTCCAACTATTTCAGAATTATTTGAAAATATAAAAAGATTTCAAAGGTATTCAATAATATTTATTTACTTATTTAATATTTATTTATTAATTAATGTTTAATTGTTTTAGAGTCCTCCAAAGTATATTAGCTTTCTTGAAAATAATATTTCCTCAAATGA